ACAAGATTTTGTTTAAATGTAACATTAGCAATAATGTTAAAGAATTTATATTTAAATGTTTTAATGCCATATGGACAGAAAAAAATTACAAAAAATTCAGAAGTCAAATGGAATTTGTAAAATATGCAATGTTGAAGCAGAAAGTCATAAACACTTATTTGTCAATTGTACGAATGCAAAGGAATATGTAAATACTCAAAATTTAAAGTTTTCTGAACAAGAAATTTTATTTTATAGCAATGAAGGAGATTTTGAGAGCAAATGCCATAGAAACCAGTTAGTGTTTAAACACAAGTTTGAAATTTGGAAAATTAGAAATAGTAAAATCTATAACCAATAAGTTCTGTATTCCTGTATAAGTACCAATGTAACCATTGTATATTATGTAAAAATTGTATAAATGTTTCAATGTTAATAAATTAATTAAAAAAAAAAAAGTTATTTTGAAACAAATTCAGCACAACCAAAACCATGTCCACATAATATGACAAATCCAAGATGGCTGCCACAATTTTAGATCCATGCTCATGTGAAGAAGTTAGAAATACACATGATCCACAAGTTCCATCCCCAATAAAATGGGAAGTTTAAGGTTCTCACACATATCAACTCTATTCCTATATACTTTATATTTGTGGTAAGGCTTGTGATCTAGGTAAACTTAGCATGTTCATGTACCTCCTATCCTCTGAAGCTAAAAACAGAAATAGTGACTTCAATTGAGAAAAATGAATCTTATGGGCTCCATATACATTTAGAGTGGCTGTCCGGCTTAAGTTAGATACTACTGATAATCTGAGATTGAAAATTATGTCAAGTTTAGTCCTCAGCCTCTCATAACGGATAACTTGGAGGTAATTGTGTTGTTACTGCAAAAACCTCTATTTCTTTATCACAAATCTACCATCTTTTGCATCTGTCAAAACCCTTCATTTCATGTTAATTTTCAGACTTTTGCTTGTGCCATCATTAAATATATATATTCAACTTATTACTCAGAATATTTTAAGAACTTTTCATGAATTTTTTTCTTCTCACACTTTTGAAAAAATGACTAAGTCAGAGAATGGCCTCTTAATGGCATGTCCCCTTTTCAATTTTAAGTACTTGGTGGATATGACTCAATACAAGGTAATTCAAATGATAACTGGTTGACCGTGGCAAACTTACTTTTGTATTCTGGAATCTTTAGACGCTTAATCTGTTTCAATGTCAAATTAGCTCGTTTAGCCATTTTTTCTACAACTGGGTAGAAATTCTCTATAGCAAGTGCTGTATTCTGGAACTCTGCCGTTTCCTTTGATATAGGATATGATATGTTTGTTCTTAAGAAGTCTGACAATCGGTTTTGGTAAATACGTATGCGTTCAGTTGTCTCATTTAATAATTTTGAAATTTCAGAAATGGAGATTGGACTTTCGTATTGACCCTTTATCCAATACCATGTTAGTTTCTTCAGTGGAGTCTTTATGTCTGCTATTTCTCCTCGGAATAAATGCAACGATTGTTTTGCAAGAGCCAATTCCAGTTGTATCTTTTTAAAATTAAAATCGTTTTTCATTTGAAAAAACGCCCTTAATTTCATCTTTATTTTTCGAATCCTTTTTAAGGTCCCATTCAAAATTATCGCATCTTCTGTAGCCAATAGCGTGTTTTCCATGTAGTGCTTAACGACATTTGTCAGATCTTTTAAATGTTTCTTTATTCTAGAGACATGATTGTTAGGCTTTCTGGTAAAATATTCCTCAACTTTATATTTTTTCATGTATGTAACCTTCACTGTTGGCCCATCTTCATTACATGCAACGTTACAAAGCATGATTGCAGCAAGCGGTAATAGTAAGGCGCCTGCAAAAACAAACATGCATGTCTCTTTTGTATTACTCTATTCCACGCCTTACCATCGACAAGGTACAGAGACAAAATATACCGTAGAACACTTCCGATGTACGATGTCACTATTTAACCGATTTAAAGCAAAGACAATAATATAGGTTTGATGTAGGTTTTAAAATAATAATCTGAGGAATGCACTACTTGTCGTCTAAGAGTGTCCATGATTTTTATGAGAACATGTTTCTTTAAACAGCACAATTAATGTATGTTGAAGATTTATTAAGTATTAACATTTTGGCTATAATTGAAAAAATCATAAGTGTATGTTGTCAACTCGAATGTACGTTGTCCCATTAAACTTACTCAATTTACAGTTAACCCTAATGCAGACAACGTATTTTTCATAACACTAAGGAGGAAGGAGACTCCGTGGCAGTACTAGTCTTCAACATATTCTATTCCGAGACACTGGATGGGAGTTTGGGCTGGAAGCTAACACCAAAATGGGCACAAATTAATTACCACCACAACAATACTTTCATAAAATGAAAAAGTAAAAAGGATACTTGAACATATTCGTTAAAGATCACTTGTTACTCATAAAAACCTTAATGAATTTTGAAATGAAAGCATTACATTGTTTAATATTACGTATATCTCATGAATTTCAATTACAGGGACAACGTAAATTCGCGTTGACAACGCACATTTCTGATTTTATTAAATTACAATAAATACTTGAATATTTATTAATCTCCACCCGTCCTAAATTGTGTAGTATAGAGAAACAAATTCTCATAAAAATAATCGACACTGTTAGGCAACAGGGGAGAAAATGATCAAAGAAAATGTATCCCCAAGTATTCCCAAGATTAATTTTTTAAAACCTACACCACAACCGCATCATTGTCTTTGCATCAAATCGGTTAAAAAGTGACATCGTACATCTAAAGTGTACTACGGTATATTTTGTCACTGTACCTTGTCGATGGTTAGGCGTTTATTCGGCGGATTTTATCAATGAGTTCTTGTCTTGCATGCTACAAGCTAAGGGGAGTCGTTAACCAAAGTTGCAAGGCAAGTGTTCACGAGACGAGCGCATTTTATCAACTCAGAGTTCGAAGCTTAATGCTCTCCACACATAGCAAAATAGTTTAATTCTTTCTTTATTATTTCAAAGCTTTTATTGATCATGATGTTTACAAACATAACAAAGTATTAACTAAAATTCCTGAATTTTTCCCCAAAAATTCGAATAAAATGAAATAAACATAAAAAGTATTGGTTTCGCTGTAGTAAAACCAATTTTAGAATCTCTTATTATCTTGTATTTAACACAAATAACGATCCCTTTTGTTATTTTGACTACAAAGCTTGTGATGTTTCCACACACAACACGATTTATTAAGATGAGACTGTCAACCTCTGAAATGTTACTGTTTTTGCGTACTTTTTGAGGTCACCTGACCATGACATTTTTGATGTACCGTGTGCCAAGTTATTCTGGCGCTAATGCCTGGGTCACATTTGCTCCGATCCATCGGCCGGCGCCCGGCCTATTGAGTGTTTTGCTCAATATTGTATTCAATTTTGAACAAAATACTCAATCGGCCGGGCGCCGTAGTGAAAATCGGAGCAAATGTGACCAAGGCATAAATCGAAAAGTTGTTGTTGCAAACTACTACGAAGACTGAACCAAAGTGGAAATATACATTAGTTTCATATTCGCACGCATTCCAATAGCCAAATAAATATTTTTAATTGATTGATCGAACTTCAAAAAAAATTCTTGTGGAAAGAGCACTGCAATATTATTCATGACATACAAGGAATTGATTGAAATGCATTTGCTAAACCGTATATCGATAACTGAAAATGTTAACCCAATAATTATATTTTGGCCTTACAGCATTACATTCGGGTTAAAAAGTTTTAATCCCCAATTGCAAACACTGGCTATGTTTGCTGTTATATAACTTACATGCTTTCAATAGCGTTTCAGCTCGATTGATTCCGCACTCAATTGCAAGTGATATTATACCCTTTGCAAAATTGATGACAATAGCCTCAATCATGCAAAAATTGGCTCAACATAAGAGCGAATAACTCGTTTTTGAAAGCAGGTGTAAAAGGGTAGGTGGTCCTTTCAAATTTTGGTCCTACTCTCTATTGATTTATTTGGTGACCTAATTACAATTGTTTTCCTTATTATTTATACACAGTCAGAGCCATTAAGGGCCATAAGGAAAGGGGACCATAATTCCCAGGGGACCATAATTTCTTTTACACCGGGGTTTCATTTTTATTTACAAAATCGTATTTCGCGGCAAATTGTTTCAACCACACTCGTCATGTCATGCCTTGGTCACATTTGCTCCAATTATCTCTACGGCGCCCGGCCGATTGAGTACTTTGTTCAAAATTGAATACAATATTGAGCAAAAGACTCAATCGGGCGGGCGCCGGCCGATGGATCGGAGCAAATGTGACCAAGGCATCACGTGACGTAAAATTTCTGCTCTGAAAACAGACACTTGCTAACTCTAAATCCCCGATACCATGATAAAATGAACTTTTGGAATTGTTGATGGTTCACCATCGTAAAGTGTGACTTCATACGGCATGAATGCATAAATATATTTAATCGAGTCAATGCATGGTTTGAGTACAACTTTAAACCAGTCGTAAAAAAATTCTGAAAATTTTACACATCGTCAATTTAATGATCATCTTTTGAACGGTAACACTTTAATTTGGAAATAATATATTGTTTTAGAAAACACTCCAGACACTTCTTTTATTTTTGGTATCATATGTTCGGAATGAAATGAAACATCTATCCGAACCTCATTGGAACAAAACGACATATACACAGCGTGTTTAGGACTCTCAATATTGTAATTGTACAAAAGAAAGTTTGATTCGATCATTTAAAAAAGTAACTTGTTAATGAAATAAAAGGTTTATCTTCTTTATCTATTTTGGGGGTTTTGTTTTAAATTTTTGAATACTTTTTGTTTAATGAACCAAATTTTCCTTTATATAACCTTAATATCGAGAGGTCGAAGAAAATATTGCATATGATATTTTGTTCCAGTAAGGTTCGGAAAGAAATTTTATTTCATTCTCAAAATCGGTAGAAAGGAATAAAAAACAATTGGACTAAAAAAACAAAAATGTTAACAAAACAGTTAAAAAAAATTATATTTGAATAATTTTTGCATTAAATTGTAATGTTCTCAATCAGTGATCATTACATAAATTACCGTGTTTTTTGTAGAATGTTTTCAAATATTACTTTTAAGAGAGAAACAATTGTTGAATTCAGTTCACCATAGCGTTACCAATCCTTTGGCCAAATCAAAAATAATGTGATTGCTGCTGTTTTCCATATAAATTTATCACTGAATCATTCCAAAATTTCCACAATTTTTCTTATAGTGTTTAGAAATGCGACGGGTTGTGGAACAGCCAATGCTCAAATCTTGGACACCCATCATTCATTCCATAAAACAATAACATATATTTCGACACATTAAAAAACAATTAATTCATTCTTTCGAAACATAACTAAATTACTTACCATATTTTCCCATGTTTATGTCAGTATTCAATAGGATGTTACGCGTATGTCCTCCACGAGAGAGAATGACTTGAAAAAAGCCAGGTATCTAACCTTTATATTGTTTCGTGATACATCGTGATAAGATGTCCTTGACACCTTGTTCGCTACAGTTAAGTTGAAAACTCATGAATATGTTTTTGTGAGCTCGAGAATAGGAAATTGTTCTACGATTGAATCAAAAGTGAATGACAAAATGTGATTTAATTACCTGAGAGTGCAAATTTAAATGTGGTCTAATCATGTTTAGTTCCAGCTGCCAGCAACTAATTTTACCATCTTAACGGAAGGTTGATGCGATGGACGGTCCCGAGTGGACAGTGACCTTACTTTATCCCGCTGACATTACTTTATTCAAATATCGATATCGTGCACATGCATGTCATGATCTTACCATTACACTGTCTGGTGACATTATCTACTCAAACACAATCGCCTGCATAATGTTAGTGTTAACATTTACACATCATTAGTGGCCTACGTTGTTTTGAAAATACAACTAATTGCCTACTGTTCCAACAAAACCCTTGAAAGATTTTATGGATGTTGTTGAAAACCAATTTGTAGATTGCTTTCGAACGATTAAACATTTGAAAAGATTAAAACAAAGTTTTTTGTTTTCGCAGAAGACAGTTTTATTATAAAGATATTGATTCGGAAGTTATACATGACACGCCCAACGCCTTTTTACCGCCACGTCAAACCCCTTTAATTGTCCAAAATCCTTTTCCTTTATACTCAAAGATCTAATCCATAAGCTTAGAGGGCTATGTTTTTACAACGTATAGCTTGGCATCCGTGATACTGTAGTCTTGATGTTCAAGGACACAAATTAAGAAAAATAAGTGAGGTAGGGATATGGTAAACCATTCTCATTAAAGTTTGGAAGAGGTATAGTAAACCTTTCCCATAAATAACCAAAGTTTGGTAGGGGTATAGTAAACCCTTCAGATTATTAACCAAAGTTTGGAAGGGGTACAGTAAACCTTACTCATTAATAACGAAAGTTTGGAAGGGATATAGTAAACCTTTCTCATTAATAACCAAAGTTTGGAAGGTGTATAATAAATTTTTCACATTAATAACCAAAGTTTGGAAGGGGATATAGTAAACCTTTCCCATTAATAACCAAAGTTTGGTATGGATATGGTAAACCTACCCGATCAATAATCAAACTTTGGTTGGGATATAGTAGTAATCTCATCAAAAAACAAATTTTGATTGATTTATAGTAAACCTTTCTCATTAATAACCAAAGTTTGGTAGGGATGTAGCAAACGTTTCCAAAGTTGGTAGGGATGTCGTCAAGGTCATCAATATCTAAAGTTTGGTGGGTATATGGTAATTTATAAAGATATCTCATCTATAACCGGATATAGATGTAGTAAACCTTTTACATTAATAAGCAAAGTTGGAAGGGATATATAGAACAAGATCTTCGTCGTCCAAAAGTATCATTTTGTTCGAAACAATGTAGAAATCGTGAATCTTTGTATGATGAAACAACTCCATATTGCAATAAACTTTATCCGCCCGAGCAAGTTGAAGGGTGGGTATTACAAGAGAAAATTAGGGTAGACCCCCTACCTCAAATTATTTGGGGGGCCAAAATGAAATATTTTTTGTGGGCACTATATATAACCTAAGTTCCTCATAACTATACCCAAAATGGTCAGTTGATATAAGTTCACTATTTATTAGGCATTTTGCAGGATATTTTAGATTTATTTGTGATTTTAAGCATTTTACTACCCCCAATTCAATTTTGAGTATATCTATTTTCAAGAATATTCCCTCATAACTTTTGTTTTAGCACATTAATGTCATTTGATAGAGCCAGAAAGTATGACAGTGATGTGTCCATGTAATGTTGAGGAAATAAATCCCAACAAACCCACCCCTTCTTCACCAGTGGGGAGGTGGTAGATATGAAAAAATATTTTGTGAGTACATTATTTGTTCAAATTCTTTTTATCCTGCCTAAGGTGGTCAATTAATATTAAGTTCACTATTTATAAGGCATTTTGCAGGATATTTTGGATTTATTTGTGATTTTAAGCATTTTACTACCCCCAATTCAATTTTGAGTATATCTGTTTTAGCACATTAATGCCTATGAAAAAAATCCACAACTTTGCTCAAGTATCATATGATAGGGCCAGAAAGTATAACAGAGATGTGTTCATGAAATGTTGAGAGAAAAAGTCCCAACAAACCCACCACTTCTTCACCAGAGGTGAGGGGGTCAATACGAAAAAAATATTTTGTGAGTATATCATTTGTTCAAATTCTTTTTTATCCTGCCTGAGATGGTCAATTAATACGAAGTTCACCATTTATTAGACATTTTGCAGGATATTTTGAATTACTTTGATAATTTAAGCCTTTTACTACCATCAATTCCATGTTGAGTATACCTCATTTCAAGAGGATTCTCTCATAACTTTTGCAATAGTACATCAAAGCCTATGAAACAATTTAAAAGCATTGTTCTAAAATCATTGCATAGATCCAGAAAGTATGACAGTGATGTGTCCTATTTATGTTGAGAAAAAAATCATAATAGTCTCACCCCTTCTTCAACAGAGGGTAGGGGTCAACATGAAAAACTATCTAGTGAGCATATTATGATTTGCAAACTCTTTTTTTATCATGCTTCAAATGGTCAATTAATGTACAGTTTGCTATTTATTAGACATTTTGAAAGATATTTGGAATTTACTTGTGATTTCAAGCTTTTACTACCCCAAATTAAGTGTTGAGTATACCTATTATCAACAAGAATATTCACTCATAGTTTTTTTGTATTGCATTGACTGACCAATGAAAAAAATCAACAACATTGCTCGAGTATCATTTAATAGATCCAGAAAGTAAGGCAGTGATTTGTTGGATCAATATTGAGAAAAAATCACAAGATCCCAACCCATTTAGGGGTCATTATGAAAAAGTATTTTGTGAGTACATTGCTAGTATTTGTGCTAACTCTTTTTTATCCTGCCTTAGATGGTCTGTTCATGTAAACTTCACTTTTTGTAGGTATTCTGCAGGGTATTTAGAATTTATTTGTAATATTAATCCTTTTACGCCCCCCCCTCCAAATTCATTGTGGTGTACATAATGGAATCCAATGAAAAATTCTTACATTACTGATATATCATTTTATAGATCCAGAAATTATGACAGTGATGTATCTAGATAATATGAACATATAAGTTCATATAAACATTACTCCACCCCCATTAACCAGGTGTCAATGTGGGGATTTAATAATGATTTACACATATACATGACCTACTGTATTGCATCAACCATGAGATTTCTACTACTATTATTAAGTACGTCTATAACATATTGTTCAAAAACTGATCCTTGTGTGGTGGTCCCTTGAGAAATGTACAATTTAACTTGATTTTTACCTAAACTCATAGATAGATCATCATACACTATGGCCAATCATAGTATTCTGTGCATCTTATGGTGGATTTAAACAATGAATCGATTCATCCTTCTTGCAATTAAATAATATGGTTACAGTATTTTTATGGTAAACTTTGACCATGAAAAAATGGCCTCGATATGCCATGCTACATTCAGTGACATTAACATAAAGCTGTTTGACTATACAAATATAAGACTGAGAGGAACAAAACATGTATAATTTGAGGCACAGTTATGGTAAATAGCAAATTTTCAGGGTATTAGCATGTAGTTTTAACTATTTATTTTACTAGCTTGATAAACTAGATCACTCAAATTGATTTAAGAAAACGTAAGAGAGTTTTTTAGATTTTTTAAATTTCTTCTCAGTCACCCCCTCCCCTTTCATTGTCTCTTGTTAAACGAGTGAAACAATAATTTAAAAACCAGTTTCTCAAGACATTCAGGGAGAGATTGCTAACTCCCTCTACACACAAAAGCTTTTTCTGCATCATCAATATTTGTTATAATATGAAATCAGTTTGGACATAAAGATGCATATTGAACCTTTCTTAGCTGAATTTTCTTGATTTAACATCAAAAGATCTTAGAATAGTGATATAGTTATTTCATGAATTTGCTCGGGCAGATTTTATCATTTGAAACAACCAATATATTCATAAAATCGCAAGATTTAAAAAATTAGAGAAGTGCTTAGACTAGGGACAATATACTTAACCCCCTCCCCTCTCTTGCTTCTTAGCTTACTGATTAAATAATTTTTTTCTCCAATATTAATGATTCCTATAATTTGAAATTTGTAGGACTTATGGAAGCATACTAGAACTCTCTCCCTGATTTTTTCCATCAATAACTATTGAAAGATCTTATAATTATGACAAAATATCTTCAAACTCCATGTTACCATTATTGTTAATTACTGAACATTAAATAATTAAATTATTGATTTTACTAAGTAATATGAACAAAAAACAGCTAAAACTGCTTTCTAGTATATTTACTTCTTGAATCAACGTATTTCATGTTGTAATATGAAAATCTTTTCTTTAAATAATTTTTTCGTTTTGACCCCCTGCTACCGCCTGGGGGCGGGGGCAAAACATAATTTTCAGGGACAAAAAGTGACCGACAAACTTGCTCGGGTGGATTTTTTAATTTCAAACAATCAATTTATTCATCAAATCATAATGGCTTAATTTCTTCATCGTTTCGAACAAAAAAAACGAAGAGCCTAGACTAATAGTAAAGATATCAAAATATGAGTTCATCAGTAAAGTATTCAGTCTGACCGTATATCTCTGGCTGTCAATTTTTAAAATCATTATAATACAGGGTGACACAAAAAGTGCCACCCACTTATTATGGAATAACCTTCTCAATAATTGAGGGATCTTTTTGATTTTTCTTTTGCAGATAGAATGTTCGACGGAGAAAAGATTGTTGTACTTGGATAGCATCAACACCTTTCGGAATTAGAGATATCACGATTTCCGTCAAGGGATGCTCTTAGTGAAAAATACCGTTTTCTGAAATCTTGGATTTCTATTTTATCCATTACTCGAGTTATTTCTGGATTGCTTTCACTAGCTTACACATATATTATCAAAAATAAGTTTTCCTAAATAATTTTGTCAAATGATTCGCTTATAGG